ACTAGCTTATTTTCTGAGCCATGGCTAGTATAGGGACGGCAGGACCTTGGATACCGATAGGACTGTGTGGGTGACAGGTTTTCTAGCAGTCTTGCCACTAACCTGCAAAGAGAAATTTCTATTTCTATTGCTGTTCATCACATTCAGATTAATTCTTCTGAGGAATCTATAACCATACAATTACCAGATCCTGGAAGGCAGTTTGCATGAGCAAAGAGCTTCTAAAGGAGAGTCATGTCTTAACTGAAAAACCAAAGTTAAGAAATAAAGGAAGCCATACAGTTTTACATAGTGGTGTACATAGATCTAAACCCCAGGGCTTTAAAAGCAGCTGTTGGAGTCCCGGATAGGCCAGGGGTAGAGGTGCTGGCCGGTGCAGGTTGCAGCAGCAGGGCAGCTTTAGTCTCTCCATTGGCACCTTTTGCAGGCACCAAAACTTTTCTCAGCAGCAGTCCAAATCTCTCCTGTACAGGAAGCGTACGGCTGACACACAGGCATCCTTCTGCCAGACACTTCCTGAACTACACAGCCATCCATAGCCCCTCGCAGCCTGCAGGCCACAGGCTGAAGGGCGCTGATCTAACTAACCAGCAGGCATCTCAGAGTTACTGCCGTTTGCTGTGAGGTATTACCACCTAAGTCATGCAGTTTTTTATAAGCATGGGTCTGGGATGTTGTCATGCACACGCATGACCAAGTATCTCATTTCAACTATAGACTTTGAAAGTCCAGAATTGGAGCTGAACCTCCAGGTCACGTTCCTCAGTGGTGGATGATGGGTATGAAAGCATATTGCTTGGTGAGGTCAGAAAAGGGTCACTTGTTAGCCAAGAGAGCTGAGGCAATTGTATTTGCATGCCGAACAATGAAACTATGGGTGGAAGACTGCATAAAACTGGCACCTCTAAAAAACCCCACTGTTAACTCAGGTGGAGGTGCTGGTTAGCACAGCACTGTCCATAGGGACAGCGCCCCTGCTATGACAGAGAGTTGGCTACAGGAATCAAAGTAATGAGATAGGAAAGATAAAACTTTTCCAGTCTCTGGGAATTCAAACCAGAACAGGAATCTAACATCATTCGAAAAAATGCTTGCCAATAACCATCCTGCAACAGTGGCTGGGCAGCAAGTGTGGAGTCAGACTAACTTCTGCACTGTATTACAGACTTTAAATGGTGACAGCTGAATTCCAGAGAGGAAGAACTCTGCTCTCCTTTGGGAACCAACAGCACCTAGTGCTACAGTCCCAGTCTTTAGATAACAGGCAAACAAAACTCACAGGTGGTAAATACAGTAATCCAAAACCTGCTAGAGGAGTTCAGAAATAACATATATGGGAGAAGGAGAAATGGCATTTCAGGAAGATCCATCTTACCACTTATATGGAGCTCTATTTTGTTGTTGCATAACAACGAATAAAAACCTCTTGGGGCTACTCCCGATTTCCTCCCACCTTTTTTTTAAATCACTTGCTAACATGCAAACAGGAAAATCCACTAAAATTATTTTGCCTGTCGTGTTCTAATACAAGCCAGTTTCACATAGAAAATACTATAACGAGTGACCAACTTCATTCCTATATAGAGAAAACACTGCCAATCGGTAATTACCTATCTGCATAGCATTCAGTTACAGCCTCTGTCAGGAGAAATAAAAATCATGTTTTCCACAAACACCCTAGGCAGCTTTGTCAGATGTACTGGTATTCATACTTTTCTTATTCAACATGCTTCCTCAATCTATTTTCTTTGGAGAAAACCATACTGGCTTTTTTTGTTTTAGAGGCATTAAGTACTGGATACAGTGGCTGGTACAAAGCTCTACCCTATTGTCTAAAGACAATTTGTCATTTCATGTCAATCCAAAGCTCTCATGCTGCACAGATGTCTTCCTATTTCAATGACATCTCAATTTAGTGGGTGTGGATAACTACTGTTAGCAATTAAGTAATGACAAGGGGCAAGCAGCACACCTTTACTGTTCAACAGGGACATACAAACTATGGATGCTGACACTCTAAATAAAATTGATGGCCCCACTTTATCTTGCTATGAGCCTCCAGAACAGGAGGTGCCAGACAGATCATAGCCCCATCTCAAGTAATTATTTTGTTAATGATCCTAGGTGAAAAAATTGTGTTGTTTTTTTTTTTTTTAGCTTATAATGTGCACATCAGCACAGGGAAGACTTAATGCTTCTGTGGAAGCACATTTCTGGCTTACTAAAACAAATACTTATTTCTAACTAAGCCTTGAGAATATTTCAAAAGGAATTGCCAAGTGAACCTGGAACACCTGGACCAGATATCTTGCTTTGCTGGAACAGCCTCAATTTTGGGCTTCCTCAGAAGGTCACTCATACTTCAACTACTGCCGTATGTCACTGCCTTATAATTGAGATAAAGCAGTTGTCAGCAAATAAAATCAGAGCCTTGTCATGCCCTGGCACTGGCTCTCCACTGCACCATACCAGGTGCAAAGTGTGATGTTGGGTTTAAATTTAAAGGATCCAAGTGACTAAACCTAGCTATGAACTCAGGAGTAAACCACAAAATGATAGAAGCATCAAGCCCTGGATCTTTAACTAAGAAAGGACACAATGACACTGAATTTCACAGAGCTGAGGCATTTCAGTGCTGAATAATAACAACTTGAATTGCTAAAATGCAAACAGTGTATGACTTCAGCCATCATGAACTGCACTACATTAAAAAACATCTTTCAGAATCTCTGGTTTACAGAAGATTAAAATTAATGAATACTGTCAGATTATTTTACACTGAAATCTTCAGACACTTTCAAGGTATGTCATTACATATTTCACAATTCAAAAGTCAAAACTTGGAAATGAAAATAGTGTGTCTTTATTGATAGTCTGCCACAATTATCGTATAAACTTAAGAGTTAGCCAAAAATGTATCTGCTACGTGGGAAGATCCTGAACATTGCAAGCATCATCTGCAAAAAGCAGATGCTTTCTTACAGTAGGTAACGGAGGTTCTGTTCCCAGCTCTCACTCTAGTGGCATATGCAAGGATTGTTTCACACAAGCTGTACGAGGCTCAGCAGAGTCACTGTCTCTTCATTATTGCAAACACAGAGATGTATACTTGAGTGTTAAGCCTTCGCTGACTTCAGTGGCTCCCTTGTCTCTTAGGTGAGCCTGGGCACAGTGTCTGCAGATCTGGAGTGTGACTAAAAAGCAGTGACAAGGGGGATGAGAACAGACGTACTACAATAGGAATTCCAACAATTCAGTGCATCCATCTCACTGAAGGAAGTCAGTATCTTTACATACTACTGAATGTTAAAAACAAACAAAGACGTTTAAGCACAAAGTATATATTTATACCAAATAAAACAACTGAAAAAGTATTACATAAAGAAAAATAATGTAACAGAACATACTAAGTACCTAACTTACAGTCATGCTCATATCTAAAAGTAACATTGGTAACTAATATATATAATTTTTGACAAGGGTGCATTTAAGAGTTCTCTAACATATAACATTCTAAATGTGGAGAGTATTTTTTCCAAGATACAGAACACACATTTTACACAGGCACACCTGTTAATTTGTATAAAAAACATGCTTGTAAGTGAAAAGGTCACTTTAGTACTAATTTACCACCTGTGTGAAAGCTATGTTACCACCTGTGTGAAAGCTATGTAGTGTTAATCATGTTGAAACCATCTCTTCTCCATTTGCATTGGTGAGCGCCAACACTGAATGGTACAATATTTGATCCGTATAGTTTACTGTCATTGCAACCTGTTGCCAAGCAGTAGCCCTGCCCAGGTGTTGAACAGCACAGTATTGTACAGCCCCATCTGTCTGCATATAGTGTATTTAAAACTAACAGCTATTACAATTATTACAATGATTTCTGTTTCAATATATACATCAGTATAAAATACTACCCCAAACACTTTTGCATTTCAAACGATTTTAACCACTTCATCAAACAATGTGTTTGCAGAATAAAAAAAAAAAAATCCAAATTAGTGTTGATTGCCAACAGTACAGCATCTCTATGGTATGTTTCCTAATAAATGAGAGAACAGAAATGTATTAAAATCAATTAAGTATCACAAAACATAATTCATGTTAGAGCAGTTCAAGGATTCCCAGTTTGTCAGTATCTACCCTAAGCAGTGCTACCCAAATACAGTATAAGCTGTTTAGTGTTTCTACAATGAGAAGAAAACATTCAAATATTAAAGCTGTGACAAACACACAAAAGCAAGGAAGGAAAATTTGTTCTGTACTCCCTGCTGCTGTAGCAAGGTACAGCATGTCAAGAGTCCGCACTCAGTGCATCGTATGTGCTATTGTACCTGGACACAACTGCGGAAGACAACTGAAATGGAATCAACTCTGAATTTCCTTGCTGTTGTGGTTTTACGTCAGACCATTCAAGTTACAAAAACTTAGTGTCTTTTTTTTTTCCTGAAGGGAAGAAGAGAGAAGAATTCATAATGAAACTGTAAAAATACTACTAAAACCCCTGTCTTGGACACAATATACTGCTTCAGGAGCTACTGTGTCATTGCACAACATAAGTGGCCTATTAATCACTGAATTATTGGTGTAGCAGAATATATTTATCATTGTGGATGTGTTTGGAAAATTGGTATTTTAAAACCTGCCTGTATCCCATAACAAGCCACAAACAATTTTGTGTATTTCAAACACTAAAATCTTTACATAAAGTAGTAAATGTACATTTACAGTGGCAAATTTAAAATCTCTCTGCCTCTGCTGCTTCAGTTTTTAAAATGAGACTTGATTCAGAGTTTTTATTCTTTACATTATCCTAAATCAGAACTATTCCTGAAGCATTAGAAATCCAGATGATAATAACAATATGGGGGGTTGTTTTGTTTTGCTGATTCATTCCTCAAAAAATAATCAATGTCTTTAAAAAAACGCAAAACAATGAACCCCCCCAAAATCTCTCCCCAGGAGAAGTCCCTGCTAGCTGAGATTTTTTCTCAAAACCAAGTTTCATGATTACAGTATATTTATAGTCATGTTAAACACCCTTGAAAATAAAGGCTCATATTGAGGATGGTGACAGGCCCTTAGTTATAGAGGTGTTAACTGGTGACACTGTTTTTCATCAGAAAAATACCCTAAAACCCCACAATACTTCATAGCTTATACTGAAAGTTTGATTCATGCTCATTTTGTTCATTTAAAAATACTCTTTGGAAACTGTGTCAACTCCTGCAAACAACTTAGTGATACATCTTTTCCTGTAAAATAAAGATAATTCATATTCACCTCTACCCCATACTAAGCTCTACCACTAATATACACTTCATTACCTGCTCACGTCACCATCTAACACATATCTTTACATTCTTCTACATATAGTGTCCAGGGCTTATTTTTCACCAAACAGGATTTGATAACTATTACATTTATAATTTTTCTTGAGGATTTGTTTTTTGGTGTTCTAGCCTTTTCACTGCAACTTAAGAGTGGTATTAATAGTTCATACTTCTTCCATGCTAATTTATGAGAAACTTTTCATAGTTTTTTTCCCCATTAAGGACTTGAAAATCTAAACTCAGATATCAAAACTGAAAACCAGAAGAGAGATTAGATGCATCTGTCATTTTAAAATGGTTTCTGCTACTTTACAGTATGTACAAGAATTGTACGTATGACAGCTAGGATTCTAACTTTTATATTGCTGCAATCAGATTCTAATTAAAAATCTTGCAAATAAACATGAAAAATAAGCCACTGGTCATGAATTCTACTGATTACATTCAAAGCTAGCCTTAAAAACAATAAAAAAGTTACAGGCAAAACATACTGGTTTACGTACTCACTAGCTTACCAGGCTACAATAGGCATGTTTTAAGTATAAAAAAAGCAGACAATTCAGATTTAAATAAGACTACGTGAAATCAGAAAAAAACTTAGATTTCACTAATAAAAAAAAAAAAGAACACCTAGAATTACTTCCCATCCTACAGCTACAGTTAAACCAACCAACAAAAATAATCAAAGTATTTCTGACAAACAAAAGTTAGGCTAGAATACGTGGCAACAATCAAAGTTCATATACGTTTCTATGTAAAATGACTCATGATTTACTATAAAATATGAACAAGAGCACTTTGTGACTAATGAAAGAGCTACTAGTAGAAACACTTAATGCCAAACAGTCTTCAGCCCTCCTTTAAGTCATTTCTCCAAATCAGTATTGACTTCTTTTGACCAGATACATCATTTTTGGCTTGTCACCCCAGCATGTCATGTTTTACCACTTGCCACAGGCAGCAGCAAACAACTAGCTGAGCAAACTACAAGCAGTGACATGCAGAAATTAACTCTCAATCTGAGTACTTAGATAAAATGATATGCAAGCGCACACTAGGACAAAAGGAATGGCACTCGTCATCCAAATAGGCTCATCATCCCTCCCCACCCCCCTTGAACAGTAGTTGCAACAGCAATAGAAAAAGATCAAGCAGATGTCTGTTCTTCAGAGTCAACTGTGGAAAAAAGTCAGCAATATATAACAGCAGCGATGGACAAGGAAGAGCAAAACAAAAGAATCTTGTTGAGTATTTGTTCATTTACTTTTTCTGAACACAAGCCCAAGTGTACCACACTGGCTTGGTCTGAGCTTCAGATACAGATGTCCTAATCTCCTTAGATCCTTCACAGATTCAGAATTCAGTCTCCCTGAGGCCCCTATAACCAAGTAAGAAAACTCTCTTTATCTAGCTTGGTGGCTGCCAAGACAGATTCCATGTCATTAAGGATGTCAGAGCTTAAAGCCTCTTGCAGACTTGGCATCAGTTCTTCTCCTTCTATATTCATCCCATCTCCTTCCAGTGTCCCAAGGTCCACATTTGTCCCTGGAATGGCTTCAAGGTAGTCTGGGAAACGGTTCTGATGGGACGGTATGTTGCTTTGGCTGATACTGTCACCTGGTTATAACACAAAGCAAGACAGGTATTACATATACTGGAAGTGCCCAACCCACAATATATCAGGACAACTGCATCTCTTGAATTACACTGCAATGGGATTCACAGAAATCCATCAGAAAAACCAAAGATGATTTGACTGCATACAGATGTACAAAGTACATGTCCTTTGTTTCAATCTTTTCACCTACTGACCAAAGTCTTTACACATCTTTGACGTCATTTATCTTGTTTTAATTTTTATGCTTAAAGGAAGAAGACAATACTGAGTCAAATATTGTTTTAGAGCAGTATTAGCAACACTGGATGAGATACTACTCTTAGCTCTGAACAAGCAGTATTACTTAGAAAAGCAAATGGACACTCAAACTCCTTATAACAGGAGTGATACTATTTACAAGCAATCGTCCACCCTCCCAACAGAGCTAATTACAAGTGTATGTCTCACGTATCTATCCATAATATTTCTATTACAGAACTAGAAGGTGGCAGTAAAACAATGCAGAAAGCATCACAGGTTCTCAGAGTTCCTCGTTTTCATTGCAAATGGACGCAAGTGTATTTGTAAAACATGCGTTAAGGATGTACACAAAACCAGACCTGTATCCATCTCATCCACACTGTTCAGGAAGTCATCAGGGGTTCTGGGTACACTGTAACTGCTCATGCTAAGTCCACTGTCTGTGCTTTCATCTCTGGAGTGATATGTTCCACTGTAACAGAAGAAAGGGAGCAACAAATTAGGGTAGTGCAGCTATTATAATAAATGCTTGGTTTTAGAACCAATCCAAGGGCTCTGAAAACACTGCTGTCATGAGAAATACTTTATTCCAATCAAAAACTGAAGCCTTTGCCTGTGTGAGACATCTGAATTTTGTTTTATCCAGGCCCTTTCCAATTAAAACCATATTATTTAGATTCAATTAAACTTAAGTAGCTTTAAAAAACTGCCTGTGTTCTGCAGTTTTAAGCTTTTCACACCCACCCACAGATTAAAACCATTGGAAGCATATCACAGACATTCCCAAATTACTTTAGAAGTAAAAATAATAATGGCACACCCTTTCACACTTCTATAAAGATAAAAACGATTTCTAACTACTAATGTCCCCATGTTTAATCAACCACTGCAGTGTATTTTTAGGTCACTGCTGTTATAAATAGGAGCTATAGTTGGAACTCCTTTAGTGATTCTTCAATTGCTTCCCACAGTTGCATTACTACCAGTTCAGTCATACATGTCATGGCAAGAGAGTGCCCTAACATAAACCAAAGACTGGTACAGAGCCATCCTGTAAACAAACCCTGTTCAGAATAATCTTGTTGACAGAACAGTTAACAAAACAGTGATGGCATGGGGCCTTACATGCATTCGATTTGTTATTGCCATCTTCTTGCCAAAGGAGACAGCAAGATCAAGAAAGCTGCGATGGCAAATTTGGGATGGGGCACAGAAGTAGGCCAGTGTACTGAGTTTACACAGCAAGGTTTTTATAGCAGGTGGGCTGCAGCGGTGGCCTCTGTGAGAAGACATCAGGACATTAACCCATGTCAGACATAGCTGCTTCCAGCTGTCTCCAAAATGATCCTGCTGCTGCCCAAAGCTGAGACCATCAGTGACAGTGACGGTACCTTTGTGATAATAAAAATGTATTTGAAGGGTGAAAAAATTGTGCAGCAGCATCTGGAAGACAGGAGTGAGAAAATCTGAGAGAAACAGCCCTGCAGACACCAAGGGGAAGAAGGGGAGGAGGTGCTCCAGGCACTGGAGCAGGGATTCCCCTGCAGCCCATGGTGCAGCCCATGGTGAGGCAGGCTGTGCCCCTGCAGCCCATAGAGGAGCCCACACCAGAGCATGTGGATGTGCCCTGAAGGAAGCTGCAGCCCATTGAGAGCCTGTGCTGCAGCAGGCTCCTGGAAGGACCTGTGGACAAGGAGCCCTAGCAGAAGCAGTGAAAACACTACTGTATATTTACTCAAACTGCTCCAATGTAGCAATTCTGTTCAGAAATTTTTTGGATGTTCTGATTATTTAGGCAGTAGAAAATAATTCAACTACCTACACTTTGGATATCTAACTTTGGTACCTAAAGTTAGGAGGACTGTCTCACCAGGAACTTCACATATACCCTATAAAGACAGAAAGAAGCATTTCTCTGATTCTGAACTTCAACTTAACAGCAACTACTTGATACTGCTGAAATGTTTGTAGGTTCTTACTCTATTAATTACAAGTTTATGTGGCTTGGAGATTTAACTCCTTTACTATTTTCATCTTTTTCTTTCCAGCATGCTAAGCAAAAAATACAGATATGACTTATCTCAAGCTTCAGCAGTTTCTTCAAAGTTGCAATGGCTAGTATGAAGCACTTGCAAGCTGTAATTAGAACCGTATTTCCAACAAAACAAACACTCCACCTCAGAAGGATTAAGAAGAAAGTTATACGAAAAAGATAAGTCTATACTGTAAAATTCTAAATCTTGAATTAAAAGACCCATGTCAAAATAATACAGCATTTAAACTGAAACATGCCACTATTTGCAGACCTAACATTAACAGAGTGAAAAAACTGCGAAATTAAAAACCTGGAGGGGAGAATAGAGAAACCTTAAAATGAACCTCAAGGTGTAGTCCTAAATGTGCCTCACAGTTCATTTGATCTCATAGCAAGCTATTCACAAATTCTTTTGAGTCAGTAATTTGAAATGACTGTTAGTCAACAGATTATGCAGAGGCAAACATGTTATGACTTTGAATAAAAAACCTTCCTACAAGTCTGAACAGACTACTTCCTCCCACAGGAGACAGCTTTTAATCCTCAACTTTTACTAGACTTGCCATTTAAGGAAAGATTCATTTACAGCTGTGGCTTTTGGCACACACAGATGTTCAAAATAAACTATTACATGTACCAAACAGAATTTTAAATCATTTTTTTCCCCGCTTCTAGTAGCTACTCCTACAAACCTGTTAAGAAAGGGATCAGAACTATTTGTAGTCATTGTTCTCAGTTCCTGAGACATTCCAGGAGATGACACAGGATTTTGAGATCCACCGTCTTGTTCCATTGTTGGAAGCTGGCTACGGAGAGCCAATTCCTAGAACAGCAGGAGCGGGAGAAAGAAAGACCGTGTTAGGCATCTGAAGGCATTTTTCAGATACAAAACCATGAAATTACAGATAATTGATGCTTTTACTGTTTCCAGCTACAAGATTTGAACGAAATTACTTTTCTGAAGACAAGGCAAGAAATTTTACTGCCTTCAATGACAATGAAAGTTCCACCAGTGAAACCCAGTATTAGAGAGACTTCACACTGTACCTGTATTTATAGATTTAGAGATCTTTTCTAGTTCACTTTAATATCTTTTGCTAAGTCTATTCTTAAGATCAAAAAAGAACTGTTAACACTTTCTGACCCCTAAGATATGCCTGTGAAGCTCTGCTGACTAGCACTTTTTCCCCTGTTCCTTTCCCCCCCGTTTCTTTCCCCCCCTTCTGATTTACTCCCTGGTTTCCTTTTTACCTTGCTTGCTTTATTCAGCAAAGTTTAGAGTCTGTCCCTGCAAGTTCCCATTCACTCCTGTTTGAGGCATGCATTTTGAAATTTCTGATTGATCAAACCAGTGATTTGTCCCATATGTACATCTTAGAGCTCCTCAAATCCCTTGAAGTTTCTAAGTAAAACCAAGATGCTGCACTTCAGAAATTACAAACCTAGACTACATATGCATCTTTACGCATCTGACTGTGCACTAACTTGAATCAATCCATCCATAAAGCTTGCTTAATGAAAGTAAGTTTTAACATAAAATACACAAATCTAAAGGCAGGTGATGATAAGCAGCATTTTATGTAATTTCCAGTGCTCCCCTCCCCCCACCCATTTTTAAACAGGTAATCCATGAGTTACACATGTGAAAAATACAATAATTTCGTTCAAGCAACTCTCCTACAGCATCATTAATGGCTCTCCAAGTCTCTGCTTTGTTAATGTAGAGACTGGCAAAGAAATCTATTCACTATCTTGTTACCATTATTAGTAGTAAGTGATTTCCAGGCTGTGGCTGGGAAGTGAATGTCAAGCAAAACCAATCTTGTCAGTCTTGACAATACTCAGCATTTCTCACTTGTAAAATGAGAAGTCTTTATCTATTCTTAGTCATGACCCTAAGGACTACCATAGACTTTTAATACATAAAAATAATCCTTCTCTAATTCTTGTTCAAAGTTGATTAAAAAAAAAAGTCTAAACTTCATTCTATTTTCCACTAGATTGTGCCAAATATTGAATGCTTCCCTACCACCTGCTTTTGTTTTCCCTTTTCTAATCTGCATATGCTTCACTCCCATTCCTGGGTATTATGATTCTACAATTCCTTTAATTCCAAGTTTCATGTCCTGTGTTAGAAAGTCTTCTAAACCCAAAAGTTTCAGACCTTTGTAGAAAGTGCACAAACATACCACTGGCTTTTGTGTTCATTACACCCAACTGCCTACTCCAAGTAAATCCAGTTCTCTGCTCACCAGCACTTACTTGGCCACTGTTCTAATAAATAGTAACAATACTCCTTATTTCCAGATCATGGGATAGTAGGCACCTTTTAATCATTTCTATAGGCTTATCCATATGATTTGCATTTGCTATTTGCTTATGTAATAAACCCATTGTTTACTGGAGAAAAGAAATCCCCTTTCCAAGAGCTCCTGGCAGCAGGAAATAAATAACCCACAATTTTCTCTTCTGTACCTGAATCAAAAAAAAAAAAGTCAGTACAGAGGAAAAACCAACCTGGAAAAATGGGAAAGTTACCTTTGTATTTTCTAAATCCTTAGAGGCCTAAGAGAGAGACTGAAGTTCCATCAATGTATGAACTCAGGTAACAAGATAAAAATAAATATAGCTCAGATCCTAGCCAGCTTAAAAAGAGAAATAAAAATCACACTTCACTGAAGCCTCACTAAAAAGAGCTGTACTAAACCAGGAGAGAGAACTGTATTTTGCCTGTTCTTTGGCATGTACAATGAAGTGAAATATGTCTCTTTAATATTATTACTACTTTTAGCCTTGTTTCAACAACAACATTGCTAAAAGTACAAAACTACAACTATTTTTAGCTATTAATAAGTAGCATTACTGCTACTTCTTCAGGAAGTTCGGGAGGCAGAACTACAGCACTTCCCAACAGAAAGAATGTTATTCCATTACTCATTCAAGTAGTAAATTTATGTCAATCTGGGAGTCTGAAAGAGAAAGGAATTACCAAAAAAGATGAGCTATTCAGAAACACAGAACAATCTTTAATCATACCCTAAGATAAGCAATTTTTTTACAAGACTAAAGAATGTATTATTTTTCCTAAAAGGTGCATGTAATGGAAGCTAAACTTGTGTTACTTTAAGAATGGTCTTTCAATTTCTTCATCCTTATAAAACTGATTGTTTCCTATACTTAAACAAAGTATGTATGGGAGTGTACAAGCCTCTCCCAGCTCCAAACACAGTAATGTGAACTCTAGGCTTTTAGTTCATGCTTTAAAATACATCCTTTATTGGAAGTATTTAAAGTCTGGAGGCAAAAATAAAACCATGACAAAATCCTGGCTTAGATTTCTATTACTTGATCTCATCCTATTTCTGTAAGTATTTCAAAACTTTTTTTAAGTACCTCTGGGAAAATAAAAGCTTAGCATTCCTATTGTTAACACAAAAGCTGAATTTTGGTTATTACATAAAGATCAAAATGATCTGTCATCTCCTTTAGCAAAGTCATTTTAAAAATAAGGTCAGCATTGTGTAATTTATCTGGCTGACCTTACCTTTTTTTCATAACTGCATACAGATTTAGTTTTACATGAAGTTCCAGGTCATTCGTACTATGTCCAAATTAACTTTATAAAGTTACTCTCTTCAGAGCATTTTTATCTTCATCGTGCATTTGAAGAAAGGTAAAAGGCTTCCTTGGGCAACTCAGGTATCATAGTCTCACTGTACTGAACATATGATATGCTACTGTAATTGATATATCTTTTTTATGATCTTAAGGTCCTTTCCAACCCTAATTATTCTATGATTTATTTAGTTTAAAAGGGTGAATTGCAACATTTCTGTCCCTAAACATTGTTCAACTATCCAATGATCCACAGGATTCACTGGGATGGGAGAAAAGTGTTGGGGGAAAGACCATGGCACTTACAGACAAGACTTACAGTACCAGTTATTTCTTCAGACTAAGTATTTATGCTCTTGTTTGAGGCCCACAAAGTTTCAGCATGTGTACAAAAGGAACAGGGAGAACACATGGGTAGATGAAGACAAATGAATTCAGCAATGAAGAGTTGTGCCATTAGTGAAGAGTAAGGGGGAAGTATAAATCTTTCAGCATCGCCATCATGAATACCATCAAAATTAATTTAGGAGGCTGACAGAGTGATAATTAATTGCATTGTATATTGGCAAAGAACTCAATGCTATGGAGAGCACTGCAGGCACAAGTAAGGCAGCATAAAATGGAACAGGCATTTGTAAAGAAAGTCTGGTTTCTTGTCTGCCTTTGCAGTCCTTTGCTGCACCACTGCTTCATGCTCCTCCTGCTATCCATCTGCCCATGGGTCGACAGTGCACCTGCCCAGCCAGGAGCACCAGCAAGGCAGGTACGAGTCAGCGTGAGTCAGCACTCACGGAGCCCGTGAAGAGCTGGATGGCCTCTCTCTGCCCAGTTTTGTTTCCTTCTAGCAAAAGCTGTTATTCACAGCCATCTCAAACTCCAGGTCAACATGACTCATATCTTCTGCTAGCCAACTGCTTTAGCAGTACTTCTGTGATTCAGTTTTGCAACTGCGATCAGCACCAGCAACCCCATGAAATCCTCTGCAGTGAGCAACAGCTCTTATACAGACACGAAATGTGTCCTGAAGCAATTAGAGGCATAAAACCAGACAAAGGGAATGAACACAGTTCTGATTTACTCTATAGACTTTTAGGCAGGTTATTTATCCATAAAGACCTACATTCACAAGCGAGCAATAGAATGATTTTGCTAATCCATAAAGTTTAGGTGCAAGCAGAATCAGAGTTTCTGACTTTTCAAGTTACTCACATAATACAAGCATTTTCCCTACTGTTCAACTTCTAGCTACTAAGACTCAGCATTTCCCACTCAGAACAACAGAGTGTGAAACCCAAATTTTACAGGTCCTGCCACACAAACTAATGAAGTTTTGCTTAGATCTGTGGTTCTCAATGGCGAATGAAGCTATACTATTTCAGAAGCCAAAGAACATTCTAAGCACCAAGTTCCCAAGCTGGCTGAATAACAGCAATGTTGCTTTTGCAGTAAAACTGAGTTCCACATTTTGTGTATTTTGATGGCAGCCAACATACCCCCAAATCCAGCCACACAGGACTCCCATTCATTAACACTTTCCTATTAATGTCCGAACATACTTGCATTTTCTAGGCAGCATTTAAAGCAGTACCTTAGTGTACCTTAGTAGTACCTTAGTGCTCATCAGAAATACGAAGACTTATTATTTCATTAGGTCAAGGAGTATCTTCCTAATTTCTGCAGGATATCCAACTCTTAAGCTGAAATTCCAGATGGCTTGACAAAACTTCCTGTTATATTTAATAGTGTTCACAAGTTTAGTTTGTTACTTAGGTCAGAAGAAGATGTGTGCCTTGACCTCTTAATCATTGTGCTCACAATCCAGGGGCAATTCCAAAGTGGCTTTTACTGATAGTTACAGATGACCTTTGACTGCATATTCTTCCTCCAGCTTCAGCTGGAACTAGCATTTGTATGGCCATACGCTTAAGTCAGACAACCGACCTAGCTGAAAAATGGTCAGATCAGGTGTCTGATCTACCCTGCAGTGTAGCCACACCAACACTTTAACTAAGAGATTATGAAAATACATTAGACACATCCTGTTCTGCTGCCTTACTATTAAGGCAGTCTTTGGCAGACAGCTGAATTTAATGGCTTAAACTGCTGCAGTCTCTTTTGCCAGAGTGTGTCTACCAGACCTCAGTCAGAAGGTTCTTTATTAAGAAGTAAATATTTTGCTTAAAAAACACCACACAAATCCCCACCTGC